GCATATGAAGAATATGCATATCCGTAAAAAAGAGTCGCACACAAAGTCTAGCGCAGCATTTAAGATGTATGTGGCAGGGGAGCTTTTGTAAGAGGATACAGAGAGTGTATTTCATGGCTAAATGATAGCATTTTTGTTTCTAAAAGTAGTAAGAATAAAAACACGGTTTTCTCTAAATTCTCATTTTTTAATGATGTCTTTCCTTTACAGCTGCCTAAACGTTGAAGGAGAGTCAGTTCTTCACCTCAAGATGTCTGACTGACCGTGAATGGGCCCAGTCTTTGATGACCCTGAAGACGTCTTGGGGCATACACACTCTCAAATGCCAGGATCCAAAACCCAAAAGAAATGAGTTCAAATGTTGTGCCAAAGTGAAATGGCTGCAGCTGGCGGAAGTTCTGCAATGTGAATAACCCTCATTAAAAGCGACTTGTAAACATTTACCTTTACGGCTGCCCATTTTTATTCTCGTGGAGACTAGACGAGCTTAGACTTTCTGAGGATGTGCTGACCACTAGAGCTTGTCTGATGTTCTGTCTGATGTCCAGCTTAACACCACGCGTCGAGGATGGCCCTGATGGCCTCTAGTCTTTGATATGTGATTAAGCTTAGATTCGAGTGACCAAACATTTTACAGAGTAAGCATTGTAAGAAATGGGAAAAAACCAAACTTGGATTGACTTCTATGTCTTTTCAGACCCTGCATTGAGATTAAAAGTTGTGCATGGGCTTATCTGATTTCAAGTGTAAAAACAGCTTATACACAATTTAAAACAGTAAGACTTTGCGGTATCCCTGGCATTTAGTAATTGGATCTTTCATGAAACACATTCATGGATACCACTATTTCTACATGTAATTCTTCTGTTACTTTTTTCATTAAAAATGGATTTGCCTTTTATTGAACTGAAAATAATTTATACTGAAGAAGGAAAATAAAATGGCACATGCATTTGGATAGGGTGAAACTCTGAAATATTGTACCAAAAATGTGAAAAAGAATCATGCAGTAAATAGACTTTGTGTTTTCTTATAAACATCTGGAAATTAGAAATGTTTGTACAGGTGTCAGATCAGAATTTTCAAGAATCGGCTCTCAGTGAAATTCTACTTGGCACAGCAATTTCATGAATAGAGAAAACGTTCTGAAAAATTCTGAACTGACCATGAGTTACAAGTTAGCTTTTCATTGGCGAATCATGGGAGTGTTAACTGTCAACTCTTGCCGCAGCAGAAGACTGAAAGTTCTTACCAACTTTGTGAAGACTGGTGCTGTTGATCACGCTGGGAAGAGCCCTTTCTTTGGTGACCCTAGGACCATTTTTTAAAATGTGCTCTCTTCGTAGAAGAAATACTCAGTTTAATTAGCTTTGGATTTTGACATGTTTTTCTGAATGACCAGATGTAGTAGGCTTGGCCAGTTTATTTCATCTAATTTAATGAATAATAAATGTTAAGCTCTTGGTTCAATGTTTGTCAGCTAATGAAAATGTTACGAAGAAGCCTTGACTATGCATGCTGCTTTCATTTTTATAAACCTTTTATTTTTTAACTATAGCTTTATTAGTAATTCCAAATGCTGCAATTTAGCTGGTTTCTTCACTCAGACAGCTGGCTTTTGTGGGTGGCTTTTTTCATACTACTGTTAACTTTTTTAAAAAGAAGCAGTGTAAAGACTGTAACAACTGAATGCACTAAGCTGCTTTTTCTTTTACAAGTTTAAGAACTTCTTGAAGCACTCTGCATTATAATGATTAAATTGCTCCCTTTTTTAAACCGTTGCTAATGTGGTCTGAGTTTTGTTTGACAATAATTTTAATGTCTTCAAATTCTGGAATGTCAAGATTTGGAAATGAAGCCTTTGGAGATATTTGTATCATGGTTCCCTTACAATACATTAACTCCCTATAGCTGTAAATAATTACTAGTAAGTTTTCTCCATCTCTTTTATAGGCTTGATGAAATTCTCCTCTGATATTTGCCAGCTTTTAAACATACTGACAGAGCAAAAAAACCCTCCTCTCCCGGTTGACTGTCTCCTTGAATACAAAATAAAAGCAGTGATCAGTAGTTGTTTTTTTTTTTATTAGCTGAGTCAGTTTTTTTTTAATTGTAATATACATAATATTTGCCATTATATCACTTTTTAAGTGCACAGTTCAAAGGCATTAATTATATTCACAGTACTGCGTAACCATCACCTCTGTTTCCAAGACTTTTTCCTCATCCTAAACAGAAACTTGCAACCATTAACCAATAATTCTCCATTCCCTCAGCCCCTGGCCACCTCTAATCCACTTTCTGTCTCTATGAATTTGTGTATTTGTTATTTCAAATAGGTGGCATCATACAGTACTGGTCCTTTTGAATCTGGTTTATTTCACTTCATATGATGTTTTTAAGATTTGTCCATGCTGTGGCATATAGCAAAACTTGGTTTCTTTTAATGTCCGAATCGTTTTATTTTATATATATGTATGTGTATATATGTGTACACACACACACTTTTTGATTGTCCATTTATCTGTTGATGGAAACTTGGGTTTTCCCACCTTTTGGCTATTTTGAGTAATGCTGTAGTGAGCATTGGCATACAAGTATCTGCTTGAGTCCATTTCAGTTCATTTGAATTCCTGAGTCATGTGGTAATTCTATGCTTAATTTTTTGAGGAACCACCAAGCTTTTTCCCACAGTGCCAAAGTTTTCCACAGTGTTTGCACCATTTTACATTCCACTAGCAATGTACAAGGGTTCTGAGTTCTCCACATCCTTGCCAACACCGATTACTTTGTTTTCAGAAGATTATTGTAAGCCAGGCACAGTGGCTCACGACTATAATCCCAGCACTCTTGGAGGTGAAGGCAGGAGGATCCCTTGAGACCAGGTGTCAGAGATCAACCTGAGCATGACAGCAAGACCTTGTCTCTGAAAATTAAATAAATAAAAAAAATTATGATTGTCATCCTAGTGTGAAGTAGTGTCTCTTTATGGTTTTGGTTTGCTTTCTGCTAAGGTGATGTCATTAGGAAAATGCAAACCACACCTTTTTGTGTTATCGGCTATTTGTGTGTCTTCCTTGGAGAAATGCTTGTTCAATACTTTGCCCAGTTTTTAATTGGGTTGCCTTTTTGTTGTTGAGTTTTAGAAGTTCTTTATATATTCTGGATGTCATAGCCTTATCAGATACAGATGCTCTTCAACTCACAATGGGGTCACATCCTGATAAACCCATCATCGTAAGATAAAATATCATAAGTAGAAAATGCATTTAATATCCCAACACACTCATCATATAGTTGGTCTCACCATAAATCCAGACACTCCCTTACTTACCATGCGGTCTGGATAAACTCACCCTAAAGTTGAAAAATCTTAAATTGCACCGTCACGTCAGGGGTTGTCTGTATATGACTTGCACATAAGTTGATCCTCATTATTCATGGATTCTGTACATGCAAATGTGCCCACTCATTAAAATGTATTTATAATCCCCAAATCACTACTTGGGGCACTTTCTCGGTCATTCCTGTGCATTGGCAGAATGGCAAAATAATTGAGTAGCTCAATACATTCCCAGGTAAGCTCTGCCTTCTTGTTTTAGTTCTCACACCGTTAAAAAGCATCTTTTTCTGCCTTTTGCTGTTTAAAATGGTCCCCAGGTGTGCTGCTGAAGTGCTGTCCCCATGTTCCTAAATGCTGGAAGACTGTCATAGACCCTACAGAGAAAACACAGGTAAGCTCATCCAGGCATGAGTTGCGGTGCTGCTGGCTGTGAGTTCGGTATTCATGCATCAACAGCATATGGTAAGTAAAGATGTCTTTAAACAGAAGCACACACAAAACACGGTGATGGATCGATGGATGAAAATATTGCGACCAGAGGCTCCCAGATCCCTAACCCCAGGAGCATTTGCTCAGTATCTGCCAATTTGGTGTCCACTGTGACTTTACAGAACATAATTACTGTGAATAATGAGAGTTGACTATTTTTTCCCATTGGTTGTGTTTCTACTTTTTTTTTTTTTGAGTTGGAGTCTCACTCTGTCACCCAGACTGGAGTGCAGTGGCCGCTCCCAGCCACCGCAGCCTCGACCTGCTGGGCTCTGGCGATCCTTCCACCTCAGCCTTCCAGTAGCTGGAACTACAAGTGTGTGCTACCATGCCCGGCTAATTTTTTGATTTATTGTAGCGATGAGGTCTCGCCAAGTTGCCCAGGTGGGTCTCGAACCTGCAGGCTCAGGCCATCCACTCACCTCAGCCTCCCAAAGCGCGGGATTACAGGCTGAGCCACCGAGCCCGGCTATGTCTCCACTTTCTTGATGTCCTTTGATGCACAAAAGTTCTGCTTGCTCAAGGCCAGTGTATGTCTTTTCTGTTGTTGCTTGTACTTTGGGCATCGTATCTGAGAACCTGTTGCCAAACCCAAGGTCACAAATATTTATCCCTATGTTTTCTTCCAAGAGTTTTACGAGTTCAGCACTTACATTTAGGTCATTCATCCATTTTGAGTTCGTTTTTGTATATGGCGTGAGGCAGGGGTCCAACTTCGTTCTTCTGCATGTGGCAACGCACTTGTCCCAGCGCCATTTGTTGACAGCAGTGATTCTTTGCCCTCTGAACAGACTTGGTACCCTTGTCAAAAACCATCGGGCTATACAGGTGATGGTTTGTTTCTGGACCCTCAATTCTGTTCCGCTGGTCTACAATTCTATCCCTAGGCCAGCAGCACACTTTTAAATTACTGCCGTTTGTAGAAAGCCCAAACTGGGGAGGCCATGCTCGGGATGTGTGCAAAAGGTGGCGAGAAAGCCATCCACAGACACAAGCGGGAAAAGCGAGTCCCCAAGTGCCCAGAACCCGGGGCAGGCAGACAGCCAGTGCCAGCCTGTTCTCCGTGGCTTCACGAAGCTCTGCCCTTTTGCTTTTGGGGCAGGCACCTACTCACTCCCCGGGCGCGGGGCAAGCTGCCTCCACGGGTCCCGTTTCCTCACCGGCAAAAATGCGAACAGTGACGTCTAATTCCGAGAGCGACTGGGAGAACACGTGGACGCCCACTGCACACCTCTCGCAGACGTGCGGTAAACACTGGCCCCTGCCGTCCCCCACTCGGGTGGGACTTGAACCACGACTCAGAGCTGATCGGCGCGCCTCTCGGCTCCTCCTGCCACCTCCCGGGTCTCCTTTTTTCGTGCACCCACTCGTCAGACGTTTATCCAGCTGCTCGGGGCCAAGCCCTGTCCGGGAACTGAATTTACAAGAGTGGAAGAGGCACCGCCTCCGGCCTCCAAGAGCTGACGGCTCGCCACGTACAGCCTGACGGAGGCATGGGGGAAGCACGGACGGAGGGCTGCCTGGAGGAGTGTGTTACCTGGTGGTGGGGACCTCAGTCAAAGCTATTTCACAGACAAAAGCCTCTAGAGACAGACTCTTGTCAGCATGCAACTTCAACACTTGCAGAATCCCAGCGGGCTCGCAAACGCCGCCCGACACCCGGCACTTCCTGTGCACGAGGCGGACTTGACGGCGACGGCGTTCGCTTCCCCCTTTACTGGCTTGCCCGGCCCCTTTCGGCTCCTTTCCATTTTGTCTTAACGAGGCGGCAGGTAGACAGGCAGTCGCCGTGCGCGTGTTGGGCCTCCCCGGCGCGGAGGCGCGGCTGGCCGCTCAGGCCCCCGCCCGTCCCTCGACAGCAC